TTTGCAGAAAGTATACACAACAACTGAAAATTATGGTAGCATTAAATTTTAAAATATAACATGCATTTCCAGTTCAAGTACTTCTTGTTATTTCTGTAACGAGTTTAACATAACAGTCGCATTATTAAGTGACATGTGGCATGTCTAGAGTGTGCAGGTATACACACATACCTACCTGGATGTGCTTATTTCCTTGATCATTAAAAGGAATGTAGGTTCTGCTAAGGAAATACCTAAGACAAGCAGTTAATGCTAGCACCTTTCATTAACTTAGATTGAAGATCTTCCTTTTTCCTTACTTCTCACCGACTCCCACTGGAGGTAATTGGCACTATTACATATGATACTGCCAATTCCATAGTTAAAATAAAAAAAACATACGAATATATGAGATATAGCTAATTATTTAGATGATAATAAAATCATATATATAATAATAAAGGAGACTCACCGAATAGAGATGACAGGATATTGGATATAGGAGAATAAATACATAGAGCATAGTATATATAGATGATGATAAGAATGATAGAAGAGACAAATTATTAGCAAAAAAAATCAGAAGACATATCATATGTATCTGTCCAGGTGGAATAATATATATAATATATACATATATATATAATAATACATACACACAACATATTACATATATATTAACAAAAAAATAATACATAAAGATAAGAAGATATATACATTCTGAGATATATATATATAAAAGAGACAATTAACTAATGGAAAACACATAAAGATGCATATATACTCATTATTAGCCAATCATACGATAATAGCCTTACCATATAATCTATATATGCTTATATACATACAAAATGTAAGAAGAAACCCAATAGACAGAAAAGAGAGAGAAAGGATAAAGGACTAATTACACATCCATGAAGTATTGATATATCGACTAAGAAGATTAGATACATACAATATAACACATAGATAGAGACGATTAAGAAAGAACAACAGAAAGTCAGAAATAAAATATAATATATGATATAATCAGTACAATATATAGTAATTATGATTATAAGAGATAAACATACAAGATATAAACCATATCTTAGACAGCTTACAGATATAACACTTCAATAACATAGAGACAAACAACATACATAGAGGATAATAAAGAAATACATATAATAGAAAATGAGACAAACAATAATAATATAAGCAATTACTCTTGCAGAAAAACTTCTATAATATTGAACAAAATTTTAAATAAGCACCACACAGAGACAGCATAATTATACGAGAATTAGTATTATAAATGTTAAGAGCAGGAACCCTGCAATAATCAAAGCCTTTTATTACACTCAGGGAATTATAAAATGGCAAAATATTTTAATAAGTGTAAAACACTTAGTTTCACATACCACACTATGTTAATACTTAGAACTAACTTGAAGTCTGAGGCAGACACCTCAAAATAATTCAGTTTAAACAAGTTTGAGATAATCAGAGGACTCCATGGCTGGAGGGAATCTAGCAGAGCCTCAAATTCAACTTCGCTATTTTATACATAAGTGTGGATTAAATGAGTGACATACAGCAGATATTCAATGAATGGTAGCTATTGTCGTCATCATCCCCACAAAGAGAAATCTAGACCTAAGAGGCTCTTTGCCAGGAGTGGGGATGGGATAACCTAGGTCTCCCAATTTGCAGCCCACTCCTATTTCACAACCTCACCCCATCTTACTCCTAACTAATAAGGCCTTTGCATTTGTAAGTTATTACATGATTAAGAAATAAAATTGTGATAACGTAAGTTTTAAATTCTATATATGTTTTTAATGTAAAATACACTTTTTAAAAAGTTTCTTTCCATCTCTTGAATTTACTGTACCTGAGGAACGGAGAAGGCTTTGTCAATGGCTGTGCAGGAATCTGAGGGCTGACAACCTGAGTCTTATTTGGCCCTCCCCAATGTTGTGGTACCTACACCCACCGATGGCTATTGAGGACTTACTCAAAGACAATGCAGTGGAAACTTTCAGAAAAAATGCATTCAATTAAGTTCCAGACATTACGGTACAGGGTTGAAAACACTGCCCGCACAGTGACTAAACAAAAGGCCACCTCGTGAAGACTACAAAAGCATATTTCCCTAAATATGAGGGTCTACTGAGCTGGAACGGAGGAGGAAATGGGAGGGTTCCTGAGGTGGAGGTGCCTACTGACAAGGCACGGACTCGTGTCAAGTGCCTGAAGCGTGAGGGTCCGGGAAATGGGCTCTGTGGGCCAGAAAGCCCCAAGGCTTGGGCTGGGGGCTCAGGGCGTCCACGGAAGGGCAGAGGTTTGCGGCGCCTGAGGTGAGGCCCGCGCCCCTCCACCTGCACCCGCCGCCGCAGCTCACCTTCCGCGCGTCACCTCCTCTCGGCGCATGCGACGGCTCCGCTCGCCGCGCCTGCGGGAGAGAGCGGCCGAGCGGCGACCCCGGCCGCGCCACGCTACCCCCGGAGGCTGCGGCGCAGGGCGCGGAATTGCTGGACCAGCTCTGGTAGCTCGGTACTCTGGGCCCTAAGGACCTTGCGCCAGCCACCCAGTAATCTGTGGTGGGAGTTTGCAAGGGCGATTTTTTCTTTCTTCCTTTTTGACCTTCGCTTTTCTGCCTCCCAACGTCAAATAACCTTCCAGTTTTTTTGTGTGTGTGTTCTATAAATAAAGTAGACACTCTCCAAAAACATATATATTATTTGATGAAATGGAAAGCATTCTGAATTGGGAAAGAAGGTTTACATCTGGGCTCTCCTACACCCCCATTTTAGGGGCATAGTTATTTAAATGTTATATTATACCTCCGCTATTCCGTGAGGGCCTTGAGAGTCCAGGGCAAGATGTATGCAGCTGCGGTTGAGACAAGAAATATATGAATGCTGGTTTGCACACATTTTGTTATAAGTTTGTTGGGACACAAGTTATAGTAAAACAAAACAGAATAGAAGGGACCCAGATTTTTGCATGGCTTTATGTAAAAACTTTGGCTAATGGATTTTGCTTTAAAACTTGTTCTCCCAAGCCAAATTAACATTGTATTTGACTTGAGGTTTAATTTTTTAAAGTTCATTGACATCTGGTATTATTGGCAATCTTCTGGCAAAATAAGTTAATTTCACTTAAAAAGCTGTTTGTGAGGTAGCTGAGAACAACTGCAGGGCTACACAACATTATTGGTTGCATCCTCACAGACCACACCTTCTCCTGTCCCCGAGGGTTTTCTTCTACTAATCTCTAAATGTCAGATATCACTATGGAAACGAAAGTACTTTTAGTGTCATGATACACAAAGGATCAGATGAAAGCATAAGTGAAACATAAGAACATGTAAGAAAAGAGCAAAGGTAGCAAAGAAAAGCCTGAAGGCCTTGCTAATTCTGGATATGAATACAATGCAAATGATATGACTTTAGTCATTATTATTTATAACTCATTCCATTTTATGATGCTTTTAAGAATTACTTTGAAGAATGACGGAGTCTGGGTTCAGCTTTTATAATCTTTGTTTTGTGCAGCACCATTAATATTTAATAATATTTAACAGGAGGTTTTATATTTAATGGGAGTGCATAAACCAAGGTTCATTTGTGTGAAAACACATTCAAATTGACAAAAGATATCTATTTCAATCAGAAGTTTCCAAAGTGTGCTCTGGGGATGACACTGGTGGTCTGGGAGCATTCTCCAGGGATCTCTGATGGCACTGGTGCTTTTGTTTCCAGGTAAGAATTAATAGTTGACTTAAAATATTTCATAAGAGACCATTATCCGAAGTGAGGTATCACAAGATCAGAAGATAGGCTCATTTGTATTCACCATCAAATTGGCACTGATTAACACTATGGTGCTCACATGGTAGTAATATTCTCCAGGGTTAGGTGTTTGGGCAGGTAAACTCACAACTAAAGGACTTGGTGAGTGTTGCAGAGGGAAGGGCAGGCCTCTAACCTCGCTTGGGTGACGGCAGCTATATGAAAGATGTTCACAACTCCAGAGAAGTGTTTTGTCTAATACTTTGTGATTCCTGAAACTGTAACTAAGATGCCCCTCTTAGTACACATTTACACTCAACAAATTGGCCTTCTCTTAGGTCAGTGTAAATGCACGGCAGTGATACAGACAGTATTTTCTGATTCTGTTACCATACCTGCTGTATTACTACTATTTCAAATCTCAATCACAAAAGAATAAGGGTCAAACTTTTTCACTTAGATGAATATCTAAGAAAAGCCACAACCTCAGAGCAGTTTAAATTTGTAGTTCTTGAAATGCTTTTAGCAATTAAAAGAACACATTAAAGTTTTTAAAACATTCTACCTTGATTTAATGATTTGATGGTTAAGCTGACCTATTTAACTTCCAAACAGTCTACAGTGGCAGATACATTATTAAAATTCTAATCAGATTCAATATAAATACCTACCATATTTTATAATTTGATTCCATTTACATTTATTTAAAAATATAATTCGCCAAATCAAATATATTCAATAATTTGCAACACGCAAATAGTGATGAGCTACCTCTGTAACAGTGTACAATTGTATGTTTTGGAATTTTTAGTAAAATGTTTGCAATATCATTTAGATAAAAATATTACTAATAAAAGGCTGCAACTGCAGTCTGTAAGAATAATTGGATTTTTATTTTGGTTTCTTTGTTTAAACGGAAGGTCTTATTTACCTAATAGTACCCAATCAAACAAGAAAAACTGCCTTCAAATAATGTAACGATTTATAGTACTTTAAATATTTTGAGAAGTTGATCCATGAAAGTGCACCCATTTTCCATTATTACTCTCAAATGGCCTCAAAATATTTAGTTTTATATGTGAAACAGTATATAAAATTTGTCTTCCACCTGCTTTTATTCAGAGGTCTTAGTCAACACAAAATTTCCACGATAAAATCAAATGTTACAGAAAAATAAGAACTTTCTTTTTCTGACAGACTGGTTAGATTAAACATAAGTATTTTCCTGGACACATATCTTACAGGTTTAATGAAGAGCTCTGGATTCACAGCTCGAAATAAGGTCGTTGTGCGTACTCCTCTGAGCCCTGGGTTTTGAAAGTCTTTCTCTTTGGGTGGTTCCTTTTTAAATGTTGGAGGCTCAGGTGCTGAAGACATCTTGACAAATGCTGACTTATTACCTAAAAACAAAATAACACATTTTTTCCCTTCATAATTGTGTTTGATAAATTACTTTAAAAAAGATTATTCTGACTCTTTTTTTGAAGTCCAGCCCAGATATGTGTACCAAAAATGCCCACTGTCTTACTACTTTGCCTAATACATACTTTATAAATGGCACTTTATTTTGGTAAATCATTAATTATTTTATTTCTCATCTCTTAAAACAAACCAGTGTGGTAGGCAAGGGTTGTTTTCCTACTTTTATGGAAATCCGGAGAATTGTTGCTTGGTCTAAGTCACATCTTGTAGTTATAAGAAGACAGGACTAGGGTAGGAGAGGCTAGTGGGCTATCCACTCTCTTCCTCACCAACAGCCCTTCCAGGATAGCAACCTGAGGGAAGTACTAGCACTCCTTTGCTCAATATCTTCTCCTGCAGCTCCTTCTTCTCCAGTGGCTCCTTTCCCCTGATGCTGCTCTGCTTCCCTCCACTGGCCCACCCAAGCACTCATTGCATCATGCAGTGACCATAAGTAGCTATTTGCACTCACTCTCCTTTTGCCTATCAGCAACTTTCTGTGCAGAACAAGCTCTGCTAGCTCCCTAATCTGAGTATCTTTTTTCCTCTTGGCTACTTTAAATCCATCCTATTAAACCCAAGCATGTCTTTTGCCTTCTGGTTCTCCTAGCTGTAGCATCAACATTTGGGGAATATTTTTCTCTTCTAGGTATTATTAGGCAAAAGCTTATTCTTATCATTCCTGCCACCTAATGCTGGGGAGGGGAGTGGGGGTAGAAAGGGAGGATGTAGAGAAAGAAACCTTCTAAAGACTGAAATTAATGACAATAAAATTATTGGAGGAAATACTGGAACCCACTGTGTAGTAAACCTTATGAAATAAGAGTGAAACACTCACATTTAAACACTCACTGGGGCTTTATTTGTATAAGTATTCTTTATTCATTAAGTCTTCTATTTTATAGACTTTATAAAAGCAATATTTTTGCAACTTAGTAGTTATGGAGAAAACTAGGAACTCAGCTTTTCAAAACAATGTGTGTTGTAGTAGTCACTAAATATTCATCTATAGCACTTAATTGGGTACACACCCCTTCAGGGACATCTGCTTGAAGGGAAAGGAGTTCTCAGACACTTTCTAGAGAACTTTGCCACTTTGGTGGCAAAGTCTTCAGAAATCTTCACTGTTGGCTGTTCCATCATTTGTTTCCCATGCATGTCATAGTTATCATTGTCGTATTCATCATGATCATCACCATCACCACTACCACCATGGCTTTCTGGCTACATTTTTACAACCGTCAGCACTCCAGTAGCAATTTCAAGATTCGATAACTCTTGGGAAATAGTTAACAGTAACAGTAGCAATTGAGTGCTAGATTGGTGCCCACACCACATTTGGTTGGAGTCTTATTCCAGGTGGCCCTCAGGGGATTCCACAGGAATCAAACCTGTTTTCTGCCAACATTTCACTTTTGCAGATGCCCTTATAGACGACCAGGTCTCCACAACCATGTCAATGGCTTACTTCATGTTTATTTTCTCAGTTTTGTCCTCATCACGTAAATTTGGAAAGAGTTGTTTCAGCAACTGCTTTGAGCTTTCACTGTGTGAATTATACCCTGATCCAAAGGCTGCAGAATGGCTGTGCAGTTCAGTGGGAAAAATTCCATACATACATGATCATGGGAGTATGTTATACACAGAGTAACTGTCTGCCAGCAAGAGAACACTGCATTTTGCTCCTTGGATTCTCTTGTCAATCTTTTTCAGTTATTCATTAATATAATTCTCATCATTCGGGCACGTGTATTGGCTTGGTAATCACAGGGGAACAACAACAAACATTTTTGAAGTACTGGGGATTAGCTGACTTGATCCAGAACGCATTATAGCATAACAGCAATCATCGTTCTGTTTTATTCCTTTGCAAAGTCTACCTTTGGCATGAAGCATAAGATAAGGTAACAACTGGTAAAGCATATCTCTTTCATTAGCATCTATAACATCATTCAAGCTATAATCAGCAACTTTTATTTTTTTAAATTTTCTCCTGCACCTAATTAAGAGTGAATAATTTTCTCTACTGGAACAGTGTTTTCATCATTACAGGCAACTTCTGAAACAATTAGATAACATGACTGAAATCTGTTTAGGCATCCCACACTTGCTTGAAACTCACCATGCCCAAGGTTGGCAAAAATCTGATACTTTCTGCTGTATAAGTGATACATTTACCATGCCCATTTCTTGCACAAATTTCATACCATGCAAAAACCTGCTACAAAAGGGACTTCACATTCACTTCTGCTTTAGTCCCAGAATCCCTTCAACTTTCTCTTCTATCTTGGCTCAATCTTTTAAAAATGTGGACAACGTAAAGGGAGTGACATTAGATTCCTTTGCTTGTGGCAAAGGAATCTACTGCTTCCACTACTGTTATTGTTTTCTTCTAATGAAAACTACTGGTGTTTCATCTTTCCCCTCTTAGCCCATGATGGTAGGATGGATGGTGTTTACAAATGTATTTGGAATTTAAGTAACAAATGTTGGCCACTGGGTGCCCACTTGAGGTGTCAGCGATGTTTCTCCCTGTGCCAAAAACCTAACTATGAATGTGGAAAAAGAGAATATGCACAATGAAGCAATCATTAAAGTGGAAGTAGTATTATAGTCAGTCAACAGGCCATACCTGTAAGAAATGTTAATTTAGGCACAGAACAGTTAATACACGGCCATGTTCTTTGGATTGAATCACACCCTAAGAGTGTACCCCTATTTGAAACTGGGGCATTAAATAAAACACTAGGAAGGCCTGAAAAAGCAGATATATAAAGGTAAAACTCATTCTACCAAAAAATGACAAATATTTTCCTCTTATGATTGGAAAACAAAGATGCATGGATTAAAGTTGTTCACTAGGAAGAAAAACAAGGTAATGGGGGAGGTAGTTATAGAGAGTACAAACTGTAGAGCACAGAAGAGTCCTCAGGGCACAGTTTATCATGTACACTTTGTGTGGATGACAATGTGCCAGGGCCTGAGGATGATTAACTCACTCCACCCCTGAAGTCCAAAATTATATGTGGTGTGTGTAAAAAAATATATGTATATGTATATATATGGAGAGAAAGAGACTAGTTACAGTCAACAGAAATTTGACTATTTAAAAATACAGTGATGCTCAATGTCATATAATTCAACCTATATGAGACATGTCTGTAAAAAACTATATAATTGTAGTTATATGATATTCTAACACAAATTTTAACGACTTAATTTTCATTGCAAGACTCCTTGATCCCTTTTTTCCTTAGCAGAACCTATATTTCCTTTGTAATGAATCAAGAAAATAAGCAATCCAGGCAGTATGTGTTATACTGCAACCTCTAGACATCCACATTCACTTTAATAATGCACTGTTTATGTTAAACTCGTTACCAGAAATAACAAGGAATACTTGAACTGGAAATGCACATGTATATTTTTAAAAATTTAATGTACCATAATTTTTTTTTTTTTTTTTTTTTTTTTTTTTGAGACAGAGTCTCCTTTGTTGCCCAGGCTAGAGTGAGTGCCGTGCATCAGCCTAGCTCACAGCAACCTCCAACTCCTGGGCTCAAGCGATCCTCCTGCCTCAGCCTCCTGAGTAGCTGGGACTACAGGCATGCGCCACCATGCCGGCTCATTTTTTCTATATATATTAGTTGGCCAATTAATTTCTTTCTATTTATAGTAGAGACGGGGTCTCGCTCTTGCTCAGGCTGGTTTTGAACTCCTGACTCAGCAATCCGCCTGCCTCAGCCTCCTAGGATTACAGGCATGAGCCACCACGCCAGCGTAACTGACTTTTTGACTTCTATCATCATTTTTAGTTCTTTTTTTTTTTTTTTTTTTTTTTTGAGACAGAGTCTCGCTTGTTGCCCAGGCTAGAGTGAGTGCCGTGGCGTCAGCCTAGCTCACAGCAACCTCCAACTCCTGGGCTCAAGCAATCCCTGCTGGCTCAGCCTCCCGAGTAGCTGGGACTACAGGCATGCGCCACCATGCCCGGCTAATTTTATATATATATTAGTTGGCCAATTAATTTCTTTCATTTATAGGTAGAGAGGGGTCTCGCTCTTGCTCAGGCTGGTTTCGAACTCCTGACCTCGAGCAATCCGCCCGCCTCAGCCTCCCAGGAGTGCTAGGCATTACAGCGGTGAGCCACCTGTGCCCGGCTTTTATTAGTTCTTTTTAACTTTAGGTTTTACAGTCAGTTTGTATTTGATGCATTTACCAGTCATTCATTTCTATTGCTGTATAGGTATTCCATTGTTTTGCTAATTGAGGTTACCTGCATCAGCATAAACTTAACTGATGGAACTGAGAGCTAAGAGACCTATGTCAATATTACTGCTTTTATTCCCCCAAAAATTTTGCCAAGGAAGATAAGATTGCAGATCACTAAAG